CCGAGAGTTTCGCGCCGCAGATTGGTGGGGCGGAGCTCGACAAATACCCTGGAAGTGGAGGCGAACGCTGGGCGCAGCACAGCGGACTAGTGGACACCCGCCCGCCTGGGACGACGTGTTTTGCAGCGTGTATGGGCCTCAATGGAGAAAGTTCCGCGACACTTTCGGCGCGGTGAACGAGTGGAAGAAAAACGTCACGACTTTCACGAACACGGTTTGCGAGGTTTGGGGATTGCCGCTCATTCCTGTCCCAAGGACAAACGTTGCATCGGACGTTGATGCTGCGCACGCACCACGTGATAATGCGCCGCCGCGGAAGAAATCCCGCCAATACGCCGTGCACGACTGCCCGGTACATGACAATGGTGACGGTTTTGGCGAGGTGTTGGATTGGGAAGGTCAAGGGCGACGCTGCGTGTTCATCGTTGATTGCCAACCGCTTCAGAGAATTTCCATGGGAATCGCGCCGTTGACTCGGGATCCGGACGCCGAGCCCATATTTCACAGTATTTGCAGCAGTATGTTATCTATACTTCAGCATGCTTGGGCACCGCCTTATCCACACTGCGATCTGGTTACATGGCGTAAGCGCGACTACAACGTGGTGGCTGATTGGCTTGTCAATTACACAATGGATACCAAGATGTCGTGGAGCAAGCAGTTAGACTTTCCGTTCGACAACACGCCCCTTGAACAGTGCAACGTCGTGGTGCATTCGGACGGCGGCACGCGAATGGGAACGTGTTCAGCCACCGGTTGGATTGTCGAAGTGGGCGTTCACGACGGTCATACATGGGTGTTCCGCCCTCTGTTTATGGCCGGAACGTACATATCTTCTCCAATTTCTTCGTTTCATGCGGAGGCACTGGCTTTGGAGGAAAGCGCGCTGTTTGTGAGTCGGTTGTTTGTAGCAAGAGCAGAGCAGTAGTCCGTAGATGGGAGTGATGTGGTCAGCTGGCCTCCGAGGGGCCTCAGGCTTAGCGAAATGAAATGAAATGAACGAGGAGGAGGAGGAGGAGGAGGAGGAGGACGAGGAGGGGGGACCAGAAGGAGGTGGATGACTAGGAGGAGGACGAGGAGGAGGAGGAGGAGGAGGAGAAGGAGCAGGAGCAGGAGGAGGAGGAGGAAGAGGAGCGAGCGGGGAGGAAGGTTTCGACCACGGCGGCGTCGGGAGGAGGTGGTTGAAAGGAAAAACCGGTCGAGGAGGAGGAGGCGGAGGAGGATGAGGAGAAGGAGGTTGGGGAGAAAAAGGGGGAGGAAGCGGGGATTTCAACCACGGTGCCGTCAGGAGAATGCGGTTGAAATGGACGCTGCTCAAGGAGGAGGAGGAGGAGGAAGAGGAGGAGGAGGAGCAAGAGGAGGAGGAGGAGGAGGAGGAGGCGGAGGCGGAGGAGGAGGAGACGTGAGGGTGATGATGATGATGTTGCTGATGATGATGATGATGATGATGACGATGATGATAATGATACTGATGATGATGATGCTGATGATGATGATGATGATGATGATGATGATGATGATAATGCGGAGGAGGAGGAGCAGCAGGAGGATGACTATGATAATGCCCTTGAGGGGTATTCCGTACGAGCCCGCACGCGCCGAATGGTCCTCATGGGGGTAGCCGGGGAAAGGAGGAGGAGGTTTAGGAGAAGGAGGAGGAGGAGGAGAAAGAGGAGGAGTGGGGGATTTCAACCACGGTGCCGTCAGGAGGACGCGGTTGAAATGGACGTTGCTCAAGGCGGAGGAGGAGGAGGAGGAGGAGGAGGAGGAGGAGGAGGAGGTGGAGGAGAAGCAGCAGCAGCGTAAGCAGGAACTGCACCATTCTGATAGTGTGCACATTCTGTACAAGCTTAGGTTTTCATGTGAGGTCCACCCGTTGGAATAATTGTTTTTTACGGGTTCTCCGGCCCCGCCCTGCTTGGCCTTGTCGCGTGGGCCAGTTTGCGGGCACCGTCACCGTTCGAGTTTGTTTGGCCTCGGCTAGCTTCGACGATCAGCAGTGCGCAGTGGGGGTATGGGGGAGGGGTGGAGTTGTTTGTTGCACCCTTGCTTCTTAGAAGGCGCGGGTCTCATCTATAGATGCAAGGCCAGCGCCTTCTGGTAAGCAGCTTCCTTCCAAGCAGCCGCCCCCCTCCCCGTGCTCCCTTGTGCGCGCCGCCAAGCTAGCTTCGACGAATCCAGTTTGACCGCGACGATCCCACATCCGTTTTGTTGGCAGATTGCTTTGTGGCGCTTCCAATTCAATCGGGCACGGCTGGCCCGATTATTCCCGTCTTGCCATTTGCTTTGGCTAGGAGGAGGAGTGCGGAGGAACGCGGAGGAGGAGGAGGAGGAGGGCGGAGGAGGAGGTGGGCGGTGGAGGAGGAGGGCGGAGGATGAGGAGGAGGAGGAGGAGGAGTGCGGAGGCGTAGGAGGAGGGCGGAGGAGGAGGAGGAGGAGGAGGAGGAGGAGGGCGGAGGAGGAGGAGGGCGGAGAAGGGGGAGGGGGAGGGGAAGGAGGAGGAGGAGGGGAGGAGGAAGAGGAGGAGGAGGAAGAGGAGGAGGAGGAAGAGGAGGAGGAGGAGAAGCAGCAGCAGCAGAAGGAGGAGGAGCAGGAGGAGCAGGATGAGCAGGAGGAGCA